AAAAAAATTGAATTAAAAAATTACACAAAAAATGAGGAATTTTAAATAGTTAATTTGATACGAATATCGATATATTTTTATTATGCATAAAGTACTATATATTGATGCATATTACTTAGATTCAAGATTACAAGTAAATTATGCATAAGTACAACTTATTAAAACTCAATGTTTGAATTCATATAAATAACTGCGGATAAACATAATCAAATACAGGATAAACATATCATTTTAAAATATAAAAAACCTAAAATATAATTAGAATAATTATCGAGTTCTAACAAAATAAATAATTATTATAATTATAAGAAAATTATATTATTAAACCAAATATAAATTACTTCGTTATTGCATCTAAACTAAATTATAAAAAAATTGAATTAAAAATTTACACAAAAAATGAGTAATTTTAAATAGTTATTTGATACTAATATCGATATATTTTTGTCAAATTTTTATGATATCTTCAAACTTATATTTTATTCAAAAATAAAAACATAATTGTTTTCTCAAAATCACATAAGACCATATTATAACATCGACTGAGATAAATAATAAAATGAAATATTAAAATCAAAATGTATCTCGCTGCATTGCGCGAGTACCCTTCTAGTAACTATATATATAGAGAGACTTCTATTTTGAGAAATCGTGAAATTGTGATAATCTTGAGAACTAGTGCATCATGTACTATTTCATATGATTTCTTTTCATCTAAGACTATGAGTGAGAATATCGATTAACATTTATTTGTTTCAAGATGTGTTTGTTTCATATGTAGTCTGTTCACAAGGTGAACCTTATTAGCGTGTTTGTAAAACAAAAACACATAAAACAGTTTTACTTTGTAAACCGAATACATATAAAACAAACACATTGTAAAGCAAATTTTATGTTAATTAACATATTTTGATAGGAAAAAAAATCATGTTAAACAAAGCCTTAAAGTAAAAAGTTCTCATAGATCTCATAATTTCTAGAGTTCTCAAATGATTAAACTCATATATGTTATGTATACACACACACATATTTTGATTTATCTGTAGAAATATTTCAGTTCTAAATCGATTCTAAGTAAAACGAATTTCTGATGCTAAACCTAATATCTAACAAGCAATTTTATAAATAAAATTAACAAACTATACTACCCTAAACCCTATACCTTAAACCATAAATCTCATTCACATAACATATGATTATGAAAAAAAATATAAATAAAAATAAAATTCATAATTCATAATGAAGATAATAAGTAACAAAAGCATATAAGAAGGAATATATAATACTCACAGTGTTGATCAAAACCAGATCTTGGATGAACCCTAAAGCTTCAATATTGAAATCCAGGGACGATGGAGTTCGTTTTACCAAATAAAGGTGAGGGAAGGAAGAAGGGTAATATAGTAATATTGTCATATTAAAGCACAAAAGTCAAAAGTATCTGGTAATATAGTAAGAAGGGTTGCTTTTGAAGGGCTGGTCAATATATGACTGCGCCAACTTTGAGGTTAAATTTTATAGCATAATTTGGTGTAATTTTTGAAATAGAGAATCTAAATAATAAGGGTGGTGTTTAATTGGTTTAAGCTTGGTTTCAAAGATCAAAAGTATTAGGAAGTCCCAAGTTCAAATCCAAGTAGGAATAAAAATTCTCTTGTGGCAAAGGAGGTTCAAATGCGGTCACTCCGGACTATCTGCAAAGCATATGGTCGTCCTGAGATTAATCGGCTCGCATAGCGAGTTGGATATCCAGGTTAACAAAAAAAAATAGAGAATCCATTAGAGTTAGATTAATTAGGGCTATAAACGAACCAAACGAACACGAACGGAGGCTTGTTCATGTTCGTTCGTTTTACTTAACCGAACAAACGAACGAACGCGAACGGTAAACGAACGAAAATCTTTGTGTTCGTGTTCGTTCGTTTAGAAATAAGGTGTGTTCATGTTCATTTATGTTCGTTCGTTAACATGCTAAACGAATGTAAACGAATGAACAGGCTAAATGAACAAAAACGAACGGGCTAAATGAACATAAGTAAATATTATTTAAATTCAAAGTAAATAAACAAAATATTATATATTAATATACAAACGAACGGTAAATGAATGAACGTTCAAGAACATAAATGAACGAACGGGGCTCTTGTTCATGTTCGTACGTTTAACTAAACGAACAAAAAAATTGTTCATGTCCGTTCATTTATTAAATAAACGAACTTCCCTTCGAACGGTTCATGAACGGTCCGCTGAACGTTTGGTTCGTTTACAGCCCTAGATATATAATTTTCATTTTTTTGAGTTCTGATTTCTTTATTTTGAATTTCTTTTGAAAAATCTGTTTTACAAACTTTGCAATTTTTCTCTCTCTGTTTTTTTTGCCTTTTTTGTTGGATTCTCGAGTTTCTCTATTTTGAACTCGAACTTATAATGCTTGAATTTTAGGAATAATATTTAACTGAAATTTGTTAAAATGAAGATCGAGGTTGAGGTTAAACATTGAAAATTGTTCGAGCTCGAACACTATTTTTAAAAAAGTTATCGTGTTCGAGCTCGACCATAATATTTTTTTTTCTTCATATAGAGCTCGAACAGCTTACTACTTGACTTGTTACCAACTCTGTTTATGACTACACTATTTTTAAAAAAGTTATCGTGTTCGAGCTCGACCATAATATTTTTTTTTCTTCATATCGAGCTCGAACAGCTTACTACTTGACTTGTTACCAACTCTGTTTATGACTATTGACTTGTTACCAACTCTGTTTATGACTATTGACTTGTTACCAACTCTGTTTATGACTATTGACTTGTTACCAACTCTGTTTATGACTATGTCCTCAGGGGAGGAACACAAACTTTCAAACCGTAAGGGCCGGACCTAATATATTATGTATTTTAAAGGGACCAAAAATACACTGTCCAGGAAAACATTCAAGGTGGTTACATAAAGATGGTTTAGTAAAACCAGACAAATGTAACCCACTTAGGAGAATACAACAGGAAGTGAATACCTTTTCACATGTGGCTTGGGTCATCAGTAAAACACTCAAAGAGAAGTGAGGATACAACATGTAATCTGGGATATATTAGAGATGGTAAGCAAGTCGATGTCCCTCATAAAAGAAAATTGCGTGATTTAGATACAAATTTGAGGAAGAGAACTAAATGTCCTAGTTCAGATTCTTGTGAGTTAAAAGAGGCTACAAAGAAGGAATTATTCCAAAAATGGCCAGGTCATCTAGTTCCAAATACAGTCGCTTTGTTAACAAATTCTGGACTTTCGTGTTTTGGGACAAATACACTTGGTTTAACTTAAGAAGCAACTGATTGGGTCAAATATGGAATTTTAAATACATTTCAAGAACAAATTGGTTTTTGATTTCAAAGACAGCAACAAGCCAACAAAAAGTGCAGCAACAGATTCTTG